GTTCACCACAGTCTGGTGAGATTGATGCAGGGGGGAGTGACGAGAGGTTCTGGCAGATGCTCGAGGCTCAGAGGAAAGGCAAGACGGACGTTTAATCAGAATGCTACTGGCACCATTAGTATCATAACTCTTCGCTGGCTGCTGAAGATGGGGACGGAGCGCTTATTGGAATGCCCTGAGGGCTGTGATGTCGGTTCTTGAATCAAATCAAAATAAACCCTTCGTAGACAGCGAGAAGAGTGTTGCTACAGATTTGTTCCTGTTGACTTAGAAAGTAAGTGTGTTGGCTTGTGATGTCATGTAATGGATATGGTATGTTCCTGGCAAGAAGCGTACAGGAAATCAACAAAGAGGCACTGAAATAGAAAACATGCATTGCGGTAACAAGGACGTCTAAGAGAAATCATAAAACGAATGTTGAAGAAAGAGACCAAAGATGCAGGTCTGGATTCCATTTAAGATATCTAAATGCCTGCACAGGATAGAACTGAAAAGGTGGATAGACAGAGATGTCTATGTGATTTACAACAGCACAACAGGATAGTAGTAGTGATCTAAGGATGAGAGCTGAGCGTCTGAGACGAAACATTGTTAAAACAAATGTTGACAACAACGGTCCTGAAATCCCATGCTGTAATTGGGAAAGTTTTTTTTTAAAGCAGGCGGGTTTTTTAATTTTACTTTTTTAAATTTCCTAGGGTTTTTTTTTTTTTTAATTTGCGGAATCAACTACGTACGTATGGGATGTAAAGTCAGCAAGAACAGTCAACATATTTTGTTTTTAATTGTTAGTAATTAATTTTTGTTTTTAAAATAATTTTATTTACAAGAAAAATGTCTAACATTTTACACTAAGAACAGTTTAAAAAGAAACAGAAAAAAAAAAAAAAAAAAAAGATTGAAAAGAAACAAAAGGCAAGCAACGTTCTTGGTAAATTAGCATCGAGTAGGTGGCGGATTTGGTCACTTTACTAACAAGCTGATTTAAAAAAAAGAGGCTTGGAACCACGATGAATATAGACAGAAAAAAATACATGTATGCTTCATACAATCTCGAAAAAGCCTGTTTCTTCCACCACCCCCCCCCCCCTTTACACACACACCTAGTTTTCCTTGTTTACCTGCGGGCTTTACATTACCTTTTGTATAGTAGTTATTGTGAATCTACTACAATTTTACTATATGCTCACAGTTTTCGCACCCTGAAACAGATTGAGCTCCACTAAGCACTGCTCTTAAAGGCATCACTGAATATAGATGTCTAGTAGAGACAACCTCTCCTGTGAAGACGGAAGCATTATTCCCCCATATTGCAAAGGAAGCACTCTTCAGTTTACAAACAGCACAAATATGTTGGTGTTGACAGAAACAGGCGAAGTACAATAAACAACATGACAGGCGTTAATAAATAATACAAGTACTTTCATTTGCAGCCAGATAATTGACGTCTGGGACACAACTATAGACAGATTTATGGACACACGTTTGTTGGAAATCAGACTTCATGCGCTTTTGCAATCCCTGAGAAATTACACCTGTCATAGCATCTGTATTCTGTTTGTTTTATTATCCTGACGTTATTAGACTGGGGATCTTCCCGTGAGCTTCTAATGAGATCTTGGTTGAAATATTCATGGCCTCATATTTGGCAATCTGGGTTAGTGGCTGACCAGTTTGAGCCCTAGACGGGGCCTGTTGAGTGTATGTGTAACCCGGAAAATAAGCAGACAGCACGAGAAATAAATTATGGAAAAATGTGATGTCTGATAAAAAAAAGCAAAGAATGCCATGGTAGGATAGAAAAACGAATCAGCTGTCATCAACATGTGGACCATAATTGTAAACTGACAGTAGAAATTACAAGCAGACAGTCTGTAATCACGTCATTGACGTTCATCAAAGCCTACATAACGATAAATAACTGATAGAGAAATGTCATTTTTGAGAGAAAAAGAAATATCTGATAGATAAGAGTAATTTATAATTAAAATACAAAGAATGCAATCGGAGTATATGGAAACCAAACAAGTTGTTGCCAATAAAAGGATAAGAATAATAAATTGATTGGAGAAAGCAGAATAGACCGCCACGGTCTTTGGTCATGCTACCGGGAGGTAACAGTTTCCAAATTAAATAGCTTCGGGACCCTTCACAAACCATTTAGTAGAGAACTCTTTCCACGTCTTTGTGCGTACTGTACATATAGCGCTAGACCTATTTTCCAGACTAACCGGCACTCGGTAGGTCATGTGGTTAACATTCCACTTTTACTTCCTAGGACTTTCCCTGGTACCTATTTATGGCTGGGTCGACTTGGAAGCCAGGTCATTTTTTCTAAGAAAAAAAGTCCTGCTCCGTACGGATTGAACCCACGACCTTTTGGATCCACAGGAGAGCACCTAGGCGCTATACCATGGCGGCTTCTTCACACGCCATTGCCTCGTGATGCATGTGGGGCTTCATCAAAATTATTAAAGACCAATCGCCATTCCATGGGTGCTGGGTCAACATAAAGCCAACCCACTGTGAAAGTCTACCACTTCACAACAGCGAAAGCAAGTGCTATACGACTACCACAATTTTATAACAATAGGCCTGAGAATATTTGCCTTTCGTGAAAAGTATATGCTTTTGCCTTCCAAGACGGTGGTTAGAGTTTTAAATCGATTTCAGATACATGATTTTTTTTTTTTTAAGGGCAGCTAAGTTTAGAGATGAACCCATCTTCAGTCAGAGGTCCTTTACATAATGTCGCTCTCGTTAAGGCACTCCGGAAAGTCTCTCTTTGCCCAGCAGTTCTTCAGCCCCATCTTCAATGTCTTGTACATATCTTCTTGGTCGTCTGCTTTTGTATCCTCCCCGAAACTGTACCCTCAATCATCACTTTCTCCAGGCTACCTCTACGTTTAACAGAGCCATACTACCTCAGTTATTGTGACAGATGCTATTAATGATCCACTTGTCCTCAATTCCTGCTCAGATCCTGCATGATATCGGTTTTGTTCTTCGTTTTGGTCCATGTGTGGTAATAATTTTTCTGCACATGTTAGTTAAAATTCTCAGGATTCCACTCCCCCCTCCCCCGCCCCCAAAAACACCCACTCCGAAACACTGAATAAAAGCTCATGACTCACATCCATATGTTGTCACGGCAAAGATGCATGACGAGGCCTAGCCTCAATAAAATCTGAATGTCATGGTAAGGAAATGCGACGAGAAAAGTATAGGTGACCAGACCTTGTGTTTTGTGTTCTGGAATATGTGAAGACTTAAGCACTTCACCTCACATTGGCTGTGATTCTAATCACATTGAACCTGCAGTGCATAGCAATTTAACAGCTGATTAATGACAATGAATGACAATTATTTATTCAGATGGTTCTGTGGTGAAAGGATGAAACAAATTGCATTAGGATTAATAGTAAAAACGAATAAACTACCCTAAATGCAACAAATGCTTGCATATGAATCACATCTATATAGTCTGAGAACTGAGGTGAGGCAGTCACTGGAATCTTCCTCCTGTTTGGGAACTAATCGCACACTCTCCAAACAAGATAGTAAAGGTCCTGATAGGTATGCTCCGTGCAGAGTGAAAAGCATTGTTTGGATGCTTTCTCTATATCATTTAGGTGTGTTAGGAAATGAACATACAGACATACCGGCTGTATATGTACTGTGGTAATTGGTGTACGGAAAGCTTTGTTACAAATGCTCCTTGGGCGAGTGAACCGTGTGGAGGCACACTTTCGATCATCACTGTACGCAAAGAATGGCGCAATGGTGGTTAAGCATGCGATCAGACATGCACTCAACACTCAATGAAAGGGGAAGATAGACTTATAACCAGACTGTCATTCGTAACATACCATCTTTGCGTTGGTTGCTGAAGACGGGAACTTTGCACTTTTGGGATGTTCCGGGTGCTACGACGCAACAGGATAATGCCCGACAGTCAGTATATGAATTATTACGTTATTTTGTTACAATGTCTAGCTTACTGATGTGCACAATTATGATTTTACATATCTAAAAAAATTCAACAGTTTACATTTATTAGAGTGTCACTTAGATTTCCATGACATGATAAAAATCTGCATTTAATCGTCTTTCATCGTTTTCCTCTAAATTCTTTGCTGCTGCTGCTGTTGCTGCTGCTGCTTCTTCTTCTTCTTCTTCTTCTTCTTCTTCTTCTTCTTCTTCTTCTTCTTCTTCTTCTTCTTCTTCTTCTTCTTCTTCAGCATTCCGAACTTCACTGCTGCAGATATCACCCGCCTCCATTAATCTCTCTCGTTGGCCTTTTCTTTGCAGTTGGTGACACCAAGTGTTTGTAGGTTTGTCTGGACATTATGGACATTATTTCTCCATTTTCTTCTTTGCTTTGTGGCCTGCGACCATTAATCTCCCTTGTGTATAGTTTTTACTTCTTTGTCATCTGAAATTCTTTCAATATACCCCAACCAGATGAGTCTATTAGCTCTAATAATGTCAGTGATCAGTGGTGATTTAAACAGATTATAAATTTCGTTGTTGCTTCTTACTCTCCATTCCCCGCTGTTTGTATCTTTGATGGGTCCAGTTTCTCTAAACTGCTTTCCAAAAATATATTAATGCACACAAAAAATGTCCATATGTTAGCCGTCCAATGTAGCCAAAATGTAGACTGCGTCTTCCTGATGTACGTAAAAAAGCTCTTGGTGTGCCTTAGACCTTAACGAAACAATCACATTACTGATTTGGCAGTCCAACGTGGTTTAAGTATCTGCATTCAAAAACTAAAATAAAATGGAAATAAACATAGATTTGTTAATTTGGTTAGCTTCTCGTGATTCTGTAGTCAGCTTCGTATTATTCTATAAAAACAAATTGTGTTGTAAAGCCAGCGCTGTGATACAAATTATCAGCATTATTCGCTGTTCAAACGTGTACACATATTTCTGAATCAATTTCCGCTTTTGCAGTGTCTGTACAGATTGGAAAATAATTTTCAATTTCCTAACGCTGGCATCAGATATTCTTTTTTTTTTCCTTCTAAAATAATCAAATGGCTGTAGTGTATTAGTAATTCATTTAGTGAGATCGCCATGGCGGTTCTATCTAGGAGATAAGACTGTCTGTGATTTATATGAAAAAGATTTATTATAGGCAAAAATGACCGAGCAAAGATTATGAATGAATCAGTTAACTTTGTCTGTCTGTCTGTCGGTCGATCGGTCGGTCCGTCGGTCTGTCTGTCTAATCTATCTATCTATCTATCTATCTATCTATCTATCTATCTATCTATCTATCTATCTATCTATCTATCTATCTATCTATCTATCTATCTATCTATCTATCTATCTATCTATCTATCTATCTATCTATCTATCTATCTATCTATCTATCTATCTATCTATCTATCTATCTATCTATCTATCTATCTATCTATCTATCTATCTATCTATCTATCTATCTATCTATCTATCTATCTATCTATCTATCTATCTATCTATCTATCTATCTATCTATCTATCTATCTATCTATCTATCTGTCTGTTTATCTGTCTATCTAATCTATTTAATCTTTCTGTCCGTCCGTCAATCCATCTATCTCTCTGATATAGAATACATAGGCATATCTCTTAATCTATATAGCCTAGAATATGTGACGTCCTAGTAGTTCACATTCAAGCCACAGTATATTCTGTGAGAAACCCTTACATTTATTGGAGTTTCTGTTAACAACGCTCAAAAGTAACGATTTTAATTATTATAAATCAATAACAAAATGACGTCTTCTTTCTTAAAGAAATTTACGGCGAGCACAGTAAATCTATATGAAAATCGAGCTAAACTGAGTACAAAACGAAGTTGTGAAAGATTAATTAGTATGCGTAGACTGTCTGACCTACATCCTATTTTGGGAACTCTAAAAGCCAGTAAATGTGTTTATACCTGCACTGTAAATGTCAAGTGCGTTAATAAAGTCTCACTAAATACGGGAAAAATACTCGCACGAATGTGCCAACTTGTTTAGATAGTACGCGATGATCAGTAGAGCCCATTAGACAAAAGGAATGGACTAAAGGTAATACATGGTCTAAATGCTTGAATCAGACTCGAAAATCAGGGCCGATATTTTAACAAAATGCTAATGGTTCATGTGTTCCGTTAGCCTACACTGTGTACTAGGAATTAGCCTGGGAAATTAAGACGACTGGCGTGATGTTCACAATACTGCCAAAAAAAGTACTCATTGATCTAATCACATAAAGATGAAGTGTAATAACTAGAACAACTCCACAAACAGAGCATGAACAGCTGGAGTCTGCCGATCTTCAGTAGGTGTCCCTCTTACAAAATTGTTTTGGCCAGTTGACCTCCTAGACAATCTCGGGGGTGGGAAGACCTGGCACGTGACTCAGGCTTCGGACTTCCGCTGCGCTTATCGGACAATCGGATAAGACGTTATGGTGATTTGCAAAAGGTACTAAAGTTATCATGGACGGCCAGAGCAACTAACAACAATTGTTTAAAAGAAGCTAATGAAAGTAGATCTCTATATACAACAATGAGAAAGAGACAAACACTGATCTTTGGCCACATAATGAGAAGATGATCATTGGAGAACATCGTGACAACTGGAAAGATTAATGGAAAAAGGGGTAGAGGTAGACCAAGAGAGATGATGCTAGATGGGCTAAAACTATGGCATGAACTAATATCCTCAATACAGCTGTTCTAGGCAACCAGGGATCGTGATCTGTGGAGACGCTTGAGTGCCTGCGCCAGTTGGCAGGGCACATGATGATGACGACTGAAGTTATTGTGATGTGTATCGTCGCCCCACCAATCAAGTGTTCATTAACCTAGTCAAATAAAAGTGTAACATCATTGGCCGCATTCGTCACTCATGTGAATTTTTATTTTTATTTTATAGTCTGCCTGGCCTATATAAATGTATGAGAAAACTAATAGCCAGTAAACACATGGTGTCACAACTATAGGAGAGCCCTAGGAAGGGTAGGGTTCCTATACAGGAGGTATCTTCAGTCTATAAGTGTGGCTCACTAGAAGTATGGTACTTCATTGTCTACTAGGGTAGAAAGACTCCTGGGACAGAGGACAGGAAGATAAGTCTACCCTGCTCCGATGGGTGGTGCTAGGCCGACTAGGTATCCTGGTGGCAACTCCTCTGCCACTTTTAAAGAAAGAGCCCCCAGAGAAAGAAAGCGAAGAATGCCCCCTTCTCGCTCACTCAACTATTACTCACGCACAGCAACACAGACAGACGAGAATAGTAGTGAATGAAGAATGATATCGCTTTAATTTTACTACAACTGACTGGCTAAAAATTGACAGTGGTTTGGTGTTTGATTTTAAACCAAATGGTTATCAACATCAGGAAATGTCTACTGGGTCCAGTTCCTTCCCCGCACGAGTACAGCTCACCCGTGGATACTCCCAAAGGCTGGACTTGATGGGGAAACCGGAACCCTTGGCTTCTTGTAGATCTTATTTCTTGCGATATCCTCTTGTAGATAATCCACCGCTGATGTTCTTAAAGTTCAGATACGACACGTGGTCGTTTAGAAAATTCGACACGTGGTCGGTTACAAATACGACTAGTAGTCGGTTATGAATACTGGGATTAAATCCCTTAAACTGTCTCTTTGTCTGTGCCGATTCTATGGCGACATGACAATGGGTACAATTGTGTACTAATCGTTGAGTCGTTGGTGTTATGAAAAATGCCGCAGGGCCCTCAGATCGGTCAGAAATCACTACAGTAATCCAGAACGAATTAATATAGAACTACACTCGCTAATCTGGATACTGCACTTGAAAAACTAACGACCTCCGCTCTCAACACAGTGGGAAATGAAATGGCCGAAACATGGCCGCTTCCGCTCAAGATGGACGACCCACGTGACGCCAGCCATGCGCATAAGCCAAAAAGAGTTAGCGCCATCTGTTACCTTCTATTGATTAGTCGGACCGGGCACTTTGATTGGTTGCAAAGCTAGTAATCCATGAGTTGAATGTAACTAGTCCAATCTGGTTTCTAGCGGAAAGTAATAGGGAAAATCGGGTCCTCTAACTAATGTTATATATATGTCTAACTATACAGGTAACTAGGGGAGCGTCAGTGGTCATTGCCAGTACTGTCACACATGGGCTACTGGGTCGCCCACTGGCTGGTCAGTAGACGACTTCGTCACCCGTTGGGACTGTCTCCTCTGATCGCATCAACACTGTAGCAGTCATTTACAGGGCTAATTTATGGCGTGTTATGATAAGCCATTTTTGTTTAACCCACATAACATAGTCATAATTACAATTTGAAGCTTCCCCTATAGGGATGCTAGTTAAACGTGACGAGTTTGGGTGGACACGAATGCCAAGGTCAGTTACAAATCGTCCCTTCGGAGAGGGAGTGATGACGGGTGCGAGGTATTTTACACAGCTATTTGTGAATATAGTGTACTTTTTTTTTTTCATCACAGATTATTACTGTGGGTTCCATCACTGGTTAGGTGATGGAGTTTTCCTATGTCGGGGGCAAAATTAAACTAAACAGTCCGTGGCGACAGCATGCGAGCTAACTCCTCTGGCTATATCGACCTACACAGACAGTAGTGACAGTTTTTGTTGTTGTTGTTGTTCTGAATGTGGTGGTGGTAGTGGTAACAGTAGTAATGGTAATGGATAGGTAATGTGGGAGCTGTTACACTGGCCACATTTACTTCTCAGTATAAACTAATGCTACCCATTTTAGTCTGGGTGGACACGGATGCAATATTTCGTCAGGTGATGACTTTCCTATCCTGAGAGGATGATATGATTAGTGAAAAAGGGAGGATGGGAGGGGACACCATTAACTGAGAGAGCTTAAAACAATATTGTAAAGTTCTCATTTCCTAACTATTTATATTTTAATAATTTTGCAAGGTGATGATTTTTCAATGCTTCGGAGAGGGAGATATGACTGGGTCGAGGGGAGAGGGGGCGGGAGTAATGACAGACACTGTTAGCTGAGAGCTATTTTATTTCTTTTCAATTTTACAATTCTGGGCCACAGCAACGCATGGCCGGGTACAGCTTGTAGCATATAAGTGTTTGAGAATATGTGTTATCAGACGTATACTATACGTGCTATTAGTTTTTCAAATTAACATGTACTCATTGTTATGGCCTGGAGAGAATGAGGCACCTGGGTGTAACTATAGGGTCTGGCCGGCTCAGTACACTCAGAGGAAAGGCAAGACGGACTTTAACCCAGATTGTGACCGGTACTATCATAATTGGAAATCTGTGCTGGCTGCTGAAAATGAGGACGGAGCATGCATGAGAATGCCCCTAGTGCTGTGATGTCAATTCTTGACTGAACATAACTTAACATTAACATTTACTTATATCTTTAAAAATCAAATTAATCTATCTTGCGAACATGTATGCGATTTGTCCCGCTATATAAGTGGTGTTTTCAGGGCGGTGCCGTGCTATGATATGTAGACGAGGCTGTATCAGGTGACACCGTAAGGGGGAAGGGGGGGGGGCAGGGGGGGGGGGGGGGAAATAAGCCGTAAATTCAAAATACAAAGAACATTTAGGGAGCCGCATTTTGGAGATTTGCATTGTTATGTCAGAATACTCGGTACTGATTCAAACATGTTATGAACGTCCAGGACTAAAACAAGTGGGAACAACAGACATGGGGAGCTATAGCCTTTGCCCTTCTTCTTCTTCTTCTTCTTCTTCTTCTTCTTCTTCTTCTTCTTCTTCTTCTTCTTCTACTTCTTCTTCTTCTTCTTCTTCTTCTTCTTCTTCTTCTTCTTCTTCTTCTTCTTCTTCTTCTTCTTCTTCTTCTTCTTCTTCTTCTTCTTCTTCTTCTTCTTCTTCTTCTTCTTCTTCTTCTTCTTCTTCTTCTTCTTCTTCTTCTTCTTCTTCTTCTTCTTTCTTCTTCTTCTTCTTCTTCTTCTTCTTCTTCTTTTTTTTTCTTCTTCTTCTTCTTCTTCTTCTTCTTCTTCTTCTTCTTCTTCTTCTTCTTCTTCTTCTTCTTCTTCTTCTTCTTCTTCTTCTTCTTCTTCTTCTTCTTCTTCTTCTTCTTCTTCTTCTTTTTTCTTCTTCTTCTTCTTCTTCTTCTTCTTCTTCTTCTTTTTCTTCTTCATGTTCTTGTTCTTCTTCTTCCTCTTCTGCTTTTTTTTCTTC